TATATATATATATATATATATATATATATATGTATATATAATATATATATGTATATATATATATTTTTAATTTTTAGCTTTGTTCACGAATCGCCTTTGACAAAATTTCTCAAAAATGGGTAGAAATTGTCAATTTCAAAATTTTGCAGTGACCCGGTGCGCCCAAAATAGAAAAATATGCAAAACTCTCCCTCTTTCCCAAAGCTGGGTAGAAAGCATCAATTTGCACAAACTACAGGAGCCTTAAATGTATTTTCTTCGATTTTCAACAAAAACAGTCCTTTTTCGAATTTGGGTACGAACAACCAAACATTCGAAACCTTAGGGACTATTTTCAACAAATCTGCCGTTTTGTCTTCCAATCATACGAAGAGTACCCCAATCATATGAAACCTCAGACAATTTTCGAAGTTGGGTAAAAAGTGTTAAATATTCGAAACTTCAATTAATTGTCGAAGTTACCAAATATTCGAAGATTCAGGGACTATTTTCGAAACTTTTGCTTTACTTCAAATCATACGAAAATTTTATCAATCATACGAATGATATTTATAATTTGTCAAATTGTCGAAACCAGAAGGACCATATTCGAAAATTTCCTTTTCCTTCTTCCCTTCGTACACAATCATCGTTTTCCTTTGTACGAATCGCAAACACGATTGAATGAAACTATATACCATCTTTAACAAATTCGAAGACTAACGAAGCCTCACTTATGAACAGTAACCACTTCGACTGATGCACAACCAACAAATGAATCACAGATACGAGTATCACACACTTCGTTCTACATATCTCAATTAACCATTCGAAATGATATATACACAGTTAAGCCTCAATTTCACTCCTTTGTTTTTTGTTTTCAAGACTTCGTTCAACTAATCTTCCCTTCCCAAATCGACACTCCAAACTCCAAACTCAATATTAACCCAAATCAACAAACGATATACATCATTTGTTCGTTCATCGATTCCAAATCAGTAAGCCACATCAACTCTTCAAAATCGACATAACCAAACAATATCATAGCCTTCGTCTGTAAAATCCATGACCCATAGCGAATTTGCTTGTTCACGTATCAAGTTTTTTTTGGAAAGGGAACTTCCCTAACGAGGGTTTCCGGGCCAGCTTTCGCGCACCGACTAATCCCCCGCTGCAAACATAAAGCTTTGCTTCATGCCCTGGAGTCACTGCAGGCGAACCTCCATGGCCACAAGGGCTGAGTGGTGCTAGGATTTGAACATGGGTCAATAGGTTCATTCGACATTAACGTTACAGCTTTTGACATCACGAACCCAACTTCAAGCGATTTTGAAATTAAACCCAAATCAAATATCATTTCGACATTCAAATCTCATATTCAACTCAAATCAAACGATTTCATCCTTCAATTCACCGAATTCACCCATAAAAGTCAAGTTTGACTTTTTCTTCTCTTTGACTTTTCGATAACAAACACAAATAACACGAAATCGAAGTATCCGAAACCATATTTCAGATCAAAAATGTGTTTAATCAACTGTTCTTCACAACGATCTCCAACTTCTTGATCAGTTTCATCGAGATTAATAAAAAACAATTGACTCAATTGATCCTAATCGGTATGAAATTGAAGAAACCATAAACACCCGATTTACAAGTTCATCACAAAAATCAAAACTCATCGATCATTAAGAGTGATGAGAAGAAATCACGAAAAAAAAATCGATTTTAGATTGCATATGTATCTGTGTGACCGAATACATATCTGTGTGACGAAATTTTGATGAATCGTAAAGTAAATTGGGATCGAATTTTGATTATATGAACAGTAAATGAGAATTGGGCTCAAACAAATGAATCAATAAGATGGAATATATGGATCATGAATAGTAACAATTCGCTTATTCGAAATTAAACAAATGAGATTTTGGGCTTAAACATGAACAATAACGAATTTTTGGCTTTTGATAGATCTAATATGATTTTGTTTTGGGTTTGATCAATTAAAAAAGATATTGGATCATAACAAATGGGCTTTTCAAAGAAATTTTGATCCAATGAGTCAAACGATCAAAAATCAAGAACGCAACACACGATTCAATGAGATTAAGAGAGATCATAGAGAGAGACTCACCAAAAATTTCTTCAATTGTGAAAAAAGTTACCAAACCGAGAATCGTTCTTCAAAAATCACATTGATCTTTAAGACCCACTTTGATACCAATTATAGTGGAAAAAGAACATGGTTTGGCATGCGGAATTAAAGTTTATACAATGAACATTGTGATTTGGGTGCTAAAAGATATATTCGATCATAGTAAATGAGTACAAAAAGGGATCTAGTCTAGAACTTCATAAATATTTCACTCACTAATCACTATGAACTACATCTCTCAAGCACACCTCTACAAGTGGTATGAACCCACCTTATATAGAGGTGTTTACATGTCTCTCTCTTACTCTCTAACTCATTAGTCATAAGGCTAATGCACCACATGCAAGTGGGTCTACAAAAGTCAAACCATTTGCAAAGTCATACATGGAGAACTTTGCACCCTAACAATCAGAGTTTGACAGCCGCTTTGAGAGCTACAATTTGCTAATCAATTTAGAAGTCATACTGGAAACTATACTTATTACACTTATCTCAATGAAAGACTGTTAGATTAGGTGGCTAGGCGAGGGAGTGTCGGGCCGGGCCGACAAGAGTCCCCAGCACGGCTGGCAAGGGAACGTCAGGCAAGGCTGACAGGAGCACGCCAGGCCAGGCTGGCGCGCTAGAGCAGTCTAGGCTATGCTAATGGACCATATATCATCATATAAGTATGTAGTTTTGAACTAAAGATAAAAATATATTTCGGTTTTTATTTTATAATATAAATACACTAAATTTTATATTGCTCCGATATAAAATTTCGATATTTAATTTTAAAAAACTGTTTAGTTTTATCAAATTTTGTATATAGTCCTTAGTAAAACATAATCTTTTCAAAGAAAAATTACAAAAAGTCTGTTAGCTAATATATAATTATGTTTTTACTGCTAAAATAATTAATCATTTAAATAATATGACATTAATTTTGACTTGAAAACTTTATGATTTTATTAATAATATATTCAAATTTTGATAAAACTAAATAATTTTTTAACACTAATTATCAAAAGTTTATATCTTGAACTAA